CCCACAATTTTCTATTGTCAAAGATCACTCACAAGATTGGCCAGCTGAAGTGAATCCCCAGGAATACTTGGAAAATTATGTAATTATCCACAAAGCATGCAAATGGTGCTGGAGCAAATGGCTTTCACGGCCCTTGCAATCCTTGACCCTGCAGCACAATAATTCCAGAGAGGCAGATTGCAGGCACTTTTCCACTAATGGCTAGGGGTAACTGCTGTGAGATCTGAGGTTATTTCTGGCAATTTCAGATAATTAATTCTCTGAAATAGGGGAGAACAATGTAGAACTATGTAGGATGAAGAATAGCGAAACTGCTGCAGAAAGAAATGGTCTTTGGTGTCTGCATCTGGCGTGGGGTGGCAGTCATCAGGATGGGGGAAGGACTCCGCAGGCAGGTGGATCTGCCCCTCCTGCCAGGCCTCTGGGATTGGGAAAGGAGTCTGCATGGCTGACGGCTGTGTGATCTGATAGAGCCTGGAAAACAGCAGCAACCAGGAGGCCACTGTGGGGAGCGGGCACAGTTCTAGGAGGAGACAGGTTTAGCAGCCCGTAACCAGGAAGGTGAATTCGTACCCACTAGAGAAACAAAGCAAAAGGGACAGAAGTTCCCTAATGTATAAGGCCTTATTTGAAAACACCACCGACTTCCAACTGTACCTGCAACATGTGCTGTTAAGCAAATTCCATGGTCAATGAGTTGATCAAACTATTCCAGAAACCCAAAATTAACAAGTGCACTATTTCAAGTTAATCTTACTGATGAGGGTGATGATACCATCGGTTCAGAACACACAGCTCCCGAGCATTGCCGCGTCCTGGGGAGCCTCTCCACTCTCAGCAGAGAGTCCTGGAAAGGGTGGAAGAAGGGCAGGGAGCGCCAAAGGATGACTCCACCAGATATGGATCAAATGTCTATCAACCTTGATCAAAAGGTGCTCCTCCACTGCTGGAAGGAACGTGACAGATGGTTCTTACTGATGTCATACATGTGTTTAAAGCCTGTCCACATTTGGGAAATATTTTATCAACTTTACTGTTTAAGAACTCCGTGTGGAAGAATTTTGTGTGGATTGGCTTGTGGTTCCTTGTATTTTTGCCTCCTTCCCCGCCGTTCTTCTGGCACCCCCAACGTCACTGGAGGGGAAGTTGTGGTAGAAAGACATTGTAGCCTTCACAATAAGTCACTAAGTCTTACTTTCCCAAATTTTACAAATGGGTGTGACCATAGGAATACTTGCTAGGGTCCCTCCTCCATGCAAGGGAGGGTCCTGAAAGCCCCAGCTGGGCTGAATCCTGGGAAAGCCACCTCCTCTGGGACGGTCGCATGCAGGGAAGGGCCGGAAAGGTGGCCCCAACATCAGACCAAGGCATGGGGTTCTTCTCCAGTGTGTCCAGGGTCCCTATACAAGAAGCAGTTCTGGGTTTACAGATGGCCCAACTTCTGGGCTGTGCATAAAAGACAAACGTGAGGTGATGCTGAAGATGTGTGCACAGGGCCTCTGTATTCTGATTTCTTCGTGCTGAGAACTTGGGGCGGGGAGGGCATGGCTGGGCAGGTTGCAGGGTCCTGGAGGGAGCCAAGCCCAGGCACTGGGGGTCAGAGCCCCGCGCCCCGCTCGCTCCTCGCTCCGGGGACCGCAGGTAGCACCACTGCCCGTGAAGCTGTCAGAGATGCACTCCTGCTCCGCTGGGCACTTCTTCAGGGGGCCGGGATGTTGAGGGGTCAGGGAGCCCCGCCAGGTGCAGGGCAAGGGCTGGACATTGCATACACAGCCACACCTTCAGTCCAGGGCTGCCTGGGAATCCAGCTGCGAGGTGCAGCCCCTGTGCAGAGCCCCTCACCTGGCCTCTCCTGAGGGCAGCCCGAGTGTGGGGGCTCCGCTGTGGAAGACCAAGGGCACCCCGCTGCCCGGCCTGGTGACAGCTGCCCCACTGCCCCTGCTCAGTGGGTGTGGAAGGCACGGTCTGTCCCCATGCTGCTTCAGCAGTTGGCGTGCAAATCTGGAGCTGTTCCATGAAAAGCAGAGAAACCCACTACTTTGGCAGGGTTACCACCAAATTCCAGGGAAATCAGGAAAGAAGGAAGGAAAATAGCGCTGTGGAATTCCAGAGACTTTCTTCCGGCATTTTCTCTGTGGCCTGGAGGCCGCCGGCCGTGCCAGCTCCCATTCAGGGCAGGTGACGCTGAGCAGTCTGGACAGGTCGGACAGGGAGTTCATTTACCTCTTGCTGGAACATATCATTAGGCTGGCGCCTCCTTTCCTCCCACCCCGAGCAGAGGGAAGAGAGGCCAGGGAGGGAGGCCTTCCCTGAGGGCCGGGCACCTGGGCTCCGGGTGGCACCAGCCCTGCAGCTGGCTTGATGATGCCCAGCCTCTGCTTTATTTTCCATCTCTCTGCTGCCTTGGAATCTGGGGTACTCAGGGGATGTGAGACCCTTACGGGGTGCTAAATACAAGGGGCTCAGGAGGTGGGGAGAGAGAGGCTGCCTGGTCCCTGGAAGCCAGTGAGAGCCGCTGCCTGGCACCCTGCTGCTGCCAGCCTCTGGGGAGGGAGGGCTGCTTTGGTGGTGGTGGTGGCGGCTCTGCTTCCCCATGGGGATTGGTTCTGTGCTGTCACCTCCAGGCGCTGGGACTGGCCGGCTGGTCTGTGAAGTTCATAGACCCTTGAGAAGGTAAAGGCACCGATGCCCACAGGGGCTCTTACCTGGGATCAAAGTGCAGAGTGGCCCGGAACTCTGGCCGAGGGGCTGGGATCGAGTCCCCGCTTACCTCGAGAGGCCGTGGTGTGGCAGTGGTGGCCCTTGTGAGGCAGGGTGCTGACGTGGGCCTACCTGACAGAGGTCGGTGCAAGCCGGTCTCAAGAGTGAGGCTGGGCCTGGGGCTCAGAAGCGGGCTCCCCGGCTCTTGGGGTCCTCTGCCTCTGTGTCTGGCCACAGGGCTTGGGCCTTGCCGTCAGACCTTCCCAGATATGAATTTCATTCCAAGAGCTGCAGCATGGCCTTTGGCCAATCATTTGATCTTGCCACGCCCGTCTCTGCTCTTCTGATGACCGGGGAGCTGCTGTGGGAGGACGACTGCAAGGCCTGGGCTTTGGCCCAGAGGCAGTGCTGTGGTCCCGGGTGGACTCACTGTGATTATTTGTGCCAGTATCATTAACCTTGCTACCCAGGCATTGCCATTCTTTTCAGTCATGAGCCCTCAATCAGTGCAGATATAACTGCTATTAGTAATTATTATTTACTGCGACATGCTACACACACACACACACACACACACACACACACACACACACACACAGAGGAGCTTTCAGGGACGTGAGGACCAGTGATGCAGGAACAACCTGACAGTGGTGCTGACACAGGGCCAAGCTGACTTCCTTCCTGCTGCCTCCTGTGCCTGATTTCAGCCTCTGTCTCCAGGAGGCAGAGCAGCGTTCACTATGCTCTGTCCATGGTCCTCACACCCCTGAGTGAGCACTGCAGGGCGATTTCTTAGAGATGCAAATTCTCAGGTGTAGTGAACTGGAAACCAAAGTCTGGCTAAAATCCGTGTTTGGAGCCCCTGCTGACCTGGATGCAAGTCTGTCCTCAACATGGGGCCCCTGATGAACAGATGCCAGGCAGAGCATAGCAAGGCAGGCAGAGGCCGCCGCAGTGGGCTGGACCCCAGGGTGGGAGCAGGGGAGCGGGAGCAGCTTTGGTTCAGAGGTGGCCCCTCCAGCGCTGCAGAGCTCACGTTTGGGCCTTTGCAGAGCAGTTACTCAGCGTGGTGGCTCCATTTCACAGTCTTGCCTGTGTCGTGTGTCCGCCACCATTGCCGAGAGCAGAGGGAGGATGTTAATTAGCGTGGTTTAATAATTTCACAATGCATACATACATCAAAACATTGCACTGGATACTGTGAATATGTGCGAGTTTTATTTGTCACCTTAGTAAAGCGGGAGGGAAGGAGGGTAGAGCTGTTAGAGGCCCGAGAGACGTGGAGGGCACGAAAGCCCCTCCGCCTGGACTCCGGCTCCTGTGCAGAAAGGGCTCGCGTGGTCAGAGTGGCCAGCTGTGCCAGTGAGGACATCTGGACGGCCGGGTGCCAGACAACTGCTGCCTGTCTTTCTTCAGGAGAGAGGTCTTCGCTCCTCCACTTTCTTTTGTTCATTTCCTCCTTTTTTCTTTATTTTCCCTTAAACTTTGCTGGCTTGTCGCTTTCCTTTCGCAGCGCAGGAACACACGGTAAGTGAAACAGCTGGTGGGAAGGGATTGCTCAGCGTTCAGGCTTGTACCTTTGTGAATCAGCCCGCATCAAACACAAAGATTAGTGTGTGAAATGCACATCAGCGAAGACTGTTTTGCCATCTTCAACTGCCGTTTGGGAAGAAAAAAAACAAGACAGTCGCCAGATGCATCTGCCCTGCTTGTCAAGTGCATCTTTTGGGGAGCTGAGGCGTGTGGGGGTGAAGAACAGCAAATACGGGGGCTGGGAGAGTAGGAGAAGCTCAGCTCCACACTCTGCAGACCCACCCGGTACTTGCCCTGGAGAGATGTCTTCCGCCTGTGCCCCTGGATGGCCTCAGACCGTCCATTCCAGCTTTGTCAGTAAGGGCTGCTGTGGAGAAGACCTGAAACATTCATCATTAGGGGAGGCGAGTAGGCCTGCACCTCCAGACAGCGTGTGGCACCAGCCTGCTCCAGACAAAGAGCCACGCAGGCCGCTCAGCCTGGCTACAGAGGGCTTGGGCGGGAGGGGACGCGGTAAGATGGTACGTGTGGGTGAAAGGGAGGGTACTCGATGCTGTTTTAATGATTTAGTGTATTGAACATTTGAAGATAACGGATCAACAAAAGAAACAGAAGCAAGGAAGGAGGCAGTGTGACCAGGTCGTGTCCCTGCAGAAGGCACGGCAGGGCCTTTCCCACCCCCTTCCTGCTGTCTGTTATCAGGACAAATAGAGACCTTTATTTTGCTTGAAGGAAATTGGCTTGAAGAGTCCTGTGTGTTTCGTGGTTTTTCAGAATGTTTCACCACTCTTTCCAACAACTCAAGTCAACAGGGGTTGCTAATGCAGAGCTCAAATGCGCTCTGAGCCCAGTTTCTTCTCTTTCCGAGGTTGAGTGGCATCAGTCCAGGCAGCCCGTTGTCTTGGAGAGTGAGCCGCGTCACACACATTTCCATGTTACTGTGCAGCTTGCTGGGCCTCGTAGTCAGCAGGGAGGCTTATTAGAACCTCGGGTTTATCGATGGCTTTGTGTGGGGTGTGCCTTCGAATCTGGAGGGCACCGTGAAGTCCTCTTCCAAATACAGGGTCAGGGTATGGATTTCCCTCAATGACAGAGCAAGAATGCAAGAACGGAATGACAGCAGAGAAAGTAATGACAATTTAGAAGGTTTGATGGGTATTTGCCTGGCGCGCCTCTTTCTGTCCTTTGCACTGTAGCCAGTCTGTCTTTCTCTAGCTGCTGGGGTCTAACAGCTGTGGCTTTTACTCTGGAATGTTTAGCCTATTGTCCCACAGTAGAATGACTATACTTGTTGCTGCGCTTAGTTTGGATCCACTATCTCACGTTTTTCTTTTTCTGTTTTCTCTATTCTTGTTCTTTCCCTTCCTTTCCTGACTTCTTTTAGCTTAGATTTTTCTTTTGTTTGGTTTTAGCTTTTCTTTGTATCTTATCTGTTGGCTTTTTAACCATAAATCATGCCTTTATTTTCACTACTTTTGCCATTAATCACGATATTTATCATGACTTACTACTGTCACCTTGAGTTAATATTGCATCATGCCACATATAAAAAATATGTAAGTGTATTTTCTGTCACTCTCCCTTCTCGTCCTTAGAGACGCCACACATTTTATACTGGTTTTTCTTATGAACTCTACAACATATTGTTATTTTTACTTACGTAGTGAATTGTCTATTTAAAATGTCAAGAAATAAAAAAAGAAGTCTTCTGTATTTTCCCAGAAGCTTCCAGTTCTGTCTGTTGATCTCCACTCATTTGTTTGGAGTTTCTGTCCGTTAGCACTTCTTTCTGGGCTGAAGGAGACCTTTGGACATTTTCCACGGTGCCCTTCTGTGGGGTCACCTCAAAATATCTTTCAGTATTCTGCCTTCATTTTTGAGGGTTGTTTTCCTGGGTATAAGATTACCGGATGATGGTTCTTCACTCCCCCTAACACACAAAGAGGCTTGCACACACACACACACACACACACACACACACACACACACACACACGTTAAGGATACCTCTGCACTCTCTCTCCTACTCTGTTCAGTCCCCTGAGGAGTTGCTGCTGAATCTCCTGGCTGCTTCTGAAGTGTGCCTTGTCTTATTTCTCTGGTCACCTCTGCAACGTCCCCTTCATGTTCAGTTTTCAACCATTTGATTCTGAGGGGTCCTAATATATATAAGTGAGTGTGGGAGTCAGCTTTTCATTGCTGTGACAAAGTAACTGGCAGAAACAACTTTAAGAAGCAGGTTTACTGTGGCTGACAGTGTCAGAGGTTTCAGGCCACGGGCAGCTGATTTCTTTGCTTTGAGGCAGAGACATCGTGGTGGACAGACACGGCTCAGGGAAGCCAGGAAGCAGAGAACGTAGGAAGAGAGCAGGGAGGGTTGTCCTCAGGGTCCTGCCCCCGTGATTCACTCCCTTCTAATAGGCCCCACCTTTTAATGATGACATCAGGGTATGAAGCTGTGAATGGGTTAAGTAGAGATGACAGTGGTTCCTTATGGTCCAGTTGCTTCCCCAAAGGCTGTCAGCGACAAGGCTTGGAACACAGTGAGCCTTTTGGGGGACACTGTAGATATTAATATTAAGAGTGGGTGTGGGGTCTGTGACTGGTCTCTTGGGGCTCCTGGATGTGTACGGTGTTCTTTCCCTCAGACTTGGAGAATTTTGACCACTTTTTTAACATGCATTTTTCGGGTCACAGCTTCTCATTTCCTTCCCAGATTCTGACCGCATATATGTTAGATCGTTTGCCATTATCCCCAAGTCACGTGGGTTTCAGCTTTGCCTCTGCTGTCCTCTGTTTAGCATTGTCTTAACCTTTTTGTCTTACATCACTGAGGTTTCCCCCTTCTCTAGTACCATTCTGCTGCGGCGGACACCCAGCTAATTTTTCATTTCAGATATTGTATTTTTCCGTGATAACTTTGCCTTGTTTTTGCTCTTATTAATTTTCATTTCTTAATTGGATCCCCCATGTGTACACTCATTATGTCTACTTTTAAAGACTTCAATGTATTTATAGTACACGTTTTATAATCTTTCTCTCTTCACTCCAACACTGTATCATCTTTGAATACTGACTGAATTTACTCCCTTTGTAGGTCTCCTGTTTCTCTTTCCTTCCATGTCTAAGGAAGTTTACGTTGCACTCTGGAAACTGAGTGTGTGATGAACCTGCGTTATGAGGTTTTCCTTTAAAGGGCGCGGTCTCATTCTGACAGGCAGGCAACTTGTTGGGGATCAGTTTTGTCCCACTGAGCTGTGCTCGGGACTCCATCAGGGTGGAGCTGGGGAGAATGTGGCTCTGCTTTGGCAGCACCGCCAGCTGGGTCTGCTGGGTCTGGGCCGCTCCACTCCGACTTCCTGGGCTCCCGTGCTGCTGGCCCTGTTCATCCTCTGATCTCTGCTCCCACAGCTGGGCTTCGCTGAACCTCCAGATTAGCCTCAGGCCAGAGAGTCAGCCAGAGGGACGAAGACACTCAGGGTTCCTTCCTCATAGTCTCCGCCCTCCTCTCTGGTGCCCACAAATTCCAGGCACCCCAGCAGCCTGCCCTGTGTTGTTTCCTCCACCCAGAAATACGGATCTCCTTGCTGGGGCACCATGGCAACTGCTCCCGGAGGTTCCTGGGTCAGGGTGGACCTCGCCGTGTGTCTTTGCTGTCGGGGTTGTTGTGGCCTGAGGACAGGTGGGGGATGGGCTCAGTCCCGCGCTTGTCACCTATGACGTGGCCAGGCCCGGAGGCTGAGCGTGTCCCTGCACATGATTCTTGGAAGAAGCTGGAACCTCAGGTCTGTTCACCTCCCGGCTTCCATGAGAACCGCGGCGATCAGGGCGTACTGAAGCGCCCTAGAGAAGTCGGCCTCTGTTATCCAGCCGCTCTGGGAGTAGGGAGTACTCACGTTTGCCATTGAGGAGCACTGACTTGAGCACCCAGTGTGTGCCCGGAGCTCCTTTTGGCACTGAGATGTGGTCTGATTAAGACAGATCCAGTCCTTGTTCCTACAGCCATTTCTTCGAGGAGGAATTGAGTGTTAAGCACGTTGTGGGATAGTTCAGGACGGGATGAAGATTGTGCAGAAATAAGACCTCTTTGGAGACGTATCGCAGGGGAAGTGGTTGTTACCGAGCGATGGCCACTTCAGACTCTTCACGGAGGGGACATCTGAGGAGCTTCATGGTTCTCAGCTGCAGGTCACTTTGCCGTCTCCCTCTCGGGGAACCTGACGGTGTCTCGGGATGATGTTGGTTCTCAAGACTGGGCAGCTGCTTTTGGTCTTCAGGACGATGAGGCTGGGGGCGCTGCTGAACACCCTGCAGGGCACAGGATGCCCCCTAAATCTCAGTAATGCTAAGGTGTAGGGGTCAGGGAAAGAGCCTCACAGGTGAGCTCGGTACGCCTGATCCTCCCTATCATCATGGCTCTGTGATGGCCGTACTGACCTCACTTTAACATCATAGTGACATGGGAATGTGATGGAGGGTTCGTTGGTATCAAACTGGACCCGCCCACCCCATTGTGTGAGCTGAGGTTAACCAACAGCGACTTACTTCTCTGTGTGTAAACTAGCTGCTTGTGGAGTAGGGGACAGTTTATTGAGAAGCCTCTGTGGACCCTGAGTTTATGGAGAAACAAGTAATCCGTACATATTTTTGCCCTTAGGGGACTCGGAGTCCATCCCAGGATGCGCATGCAGAGTGCGCTGGCCAGCAGTTTCCTGTCAGCTGCGTCCATCCACAGGAGAGCAGAGAGGGCCGGGAGCGCTGGCAGCTTCTGCCAAAATCCACCAGCTTTGAGGCTGAGGTATTGCAAGTCAGGCAGACAGAGCCTTCCCTCGGGTGACCGCCGTTCCTTCTCCACAGAGGCCCAGACCGGGGCTGTAGGGTCGGCGCTGCCGCAAAGCCAGGCTTCATGGAGAGTGGGCAGCCTGTTTAAAGAATGCCGCAGCACTGACCCAATGGGAAGGGCCGTTTGTGTATCGGTTTCTGATATCGGCTTGGCCTGGAATCGCTGTCAGGCTTAAGCAATCCTCTTTTCAGAACTCGCCTCTTAATGCAACCGTGAAAATTGTTACCAAGCAACAAGCGGCCTTGAGTGGTGAGAATTCAGGAATGACTGACGGGGAGACTTTGCTTCCAGAGGAAACGGCACCTCTCCCGCCTGGCGATGCCCTGTGGTGCCCGCTCCACCTGGTGAGGGGCGGGCTTGGTGCTCTGTGCGGCAACGCTGCATCGCTAAAAATAAATAAATAAGCAGACGTGCCTTCTCGCGCCCTACGGATCCAACCATTTGGCTGCAAAGCAGCTGCAGGAAAGGGTTGTCAGCTGTGTGAGAAGTTGTCTCCTCTCAGTCTGGCACCGGAAGCCAGGGAGGAGGCCTCGAGGGGCCAGCAGGGCCCCAGACCCCGTCCAGCCTGTGGTGAACATCACAGGGCCCAGAGCCCTGACCATCCGTGGGCTCTGGGCAGGGAGCTGGGAGATCCTCCTCAGAGCCCCGTCTCTGCCCCAACTCTGGCTCCGAAGTGGGCTCTGCGTGGCCTCCCATGTGGGACAGAGTTCCAGTGTTCACCGACTGACTTCTGGCATTTTTCACAGCCACATTTCCTTTTTGCAGGAAATTCTGCCCATTTAGGGTCTTTATGGGGTTGATCCTCAGCCTCTGATGGGAGCCTTTTCCCCCTGATTGAATTACAGGTCTGCAGCTGTCTTGGTTTTCACCATGTCCACATGTGCTTGCTGAGAGACAAAACAGAATACAGCATTTAATTTACTTTCCAGAATTCATATAAATATGAAAGAAGGTAAGCAAGATACACAGGAATCAAAAATACATAGCTTGGTGGGAGAGCACGTGCCTAAAATGTGCAAGGCTCTAAATTTGACCACTAATGCTACAAAAAAAGAAAAGAAAAAATAATTTTATATTGAGTATGGTGGCACATGTAGCTAATGTCAGAACTTTGGAAGGCTGAGGCAGGAGGATTGCAAGTTTCAACCAGATAAAACATGTAAAAAGGGCTGAGAATATAGCTCAGTGTGGAGGCCCTGGGCACAAACCCCAGCACATAAGCAGATTTCTAAGCAGATAACTACACGAAAGCATGTAGCAGACATGACACTGAGCAAAACGGCCAGGCATGGAGGAGCACCTTCTCGTGTCTCCGTGCACACAGCCGGAGAACAGGCCTCCCAGCCCGGCGGTGCCTGGCCCTGTGTCCCTGAGAAGGGGCTTGTAGGGGCAGAGGCTGTTGTCATCCGGACACTGGAGCAGCAGCCTCCTGCCGCCCTGAGCTGGCCCGATGGCAGTGTGCCGTTGTGCTGCCGCTGTCTGGACAGTGTAGGAGTCCCGCAGCGGGTGGGCAGGCAGCAGTCAGGCTCTGGGGTGACGGGGCTCCGTGGGCACTGGCTCTGGCTGCATGGGGACGTGCAGATGTTGCCTCCTCAGCCCCTTTTGTGGGGCTCTGCCCCAGTCTGGCCAGATGGTGGAAGAGGTGTTTAGAAACTCCAGCTGCACTCCACCAGCTTACAAGATGCTCGGATTCTATTCCAAGGGGCTTATTTTATTGCCCTTTGCTTTAGAAATGAGTCTGTTCTCATCTTCACAGTACACCATTCTCCTCGTTCTAAGAAACATCCCCTGGCCTCTGGCTTCCCTCAAGATCAGCTGGAAGTGGGACAGAGGGGACCACAGTGCCAGGGCTGGAGTGGATCCTGTCGGCCACTGAGTGACGGTGGGGGTGAGGACAGTCACCTCACATTGTCCGCTGATGGCTGTGTCCCAGCCCAGAAAGCAGAGCCTTGGCCCACAGGATCTCTGTGCCAGCTAGAGAAATGTGCCCATCGAGGCTCATCTTGACTTGATTGACACGAGAGACGTCAGGGAGATTAATAAAGCACTGTTCGGGTGAGGCTAGGAGGGCGTGAGAGCAAGATTGTGGGGCTGCTGTCTAGTACCTGATTCCCAGGCCTTTCCACCATGATAGTCCTGCCTTGAAGCCAACCATGGACCGAACCTCTGGGACAAAAAGCTGAAAGAAATATTTCCTCCCTTTAACTTGTTTTCTCAGATACTGGGTCACAGCAATGAAGAGCAGACTAAAGCAATGCCTGTTTGAAAGCATGGATTGAGGAAGGCTCCAGGTCTGGGTGAGTGTGGTCCCTGGGAATGGGTGAGCCGCAGACGGCATCTGGCCAGTGGAATCCAGGCGCCTGCAGCCCACTCTCCCTGCTGCTGGGTATGACTAGTGCCAGGGATCCTGACAATAGGAGACGCTCATGGGTTTTCCCGTGCACAAATACAGGAACTGGTCCTCAGAGCTGGGAGTCATTCCTTCGACAATTGAGCATGTTAGAATGGATTTGGGGGAAGTAGTACCCCAAAAGTAAAACCGAATGGACATTCACCTCGCAGCTTGTGTTTGCAGAAACTGGAGGATGTAGGCATGGTCTATTGGATGAAGTTATGGGAAGAATAAACCATGGGAAACATCGTCATGTGGAGAAAAGGAGGACCAAAGCTGGAGTAGCACCCAGTTGGAGTCCTGGCTCTCTCACTTCTAAATCTGGCAGCATATTTACCCTCTCTGATCCTCAGTTTTCTATCTATAAAATGAGAAGGCTGTTGGAAGTGTGAAAGAAATGATTTCTGAAGCATAACTTGGTAAACAAGGATGCCAGGTAGATACTTGAGGTAGGATTATGTTGTCTAATACACACTTGGCCAAGATTCAAAGTACCTCAAGTTTGTGTGGAGAAAAAGCACCCAGGTGCATGGTGAGAAAACTGAAGGGCTTCATCACTTCCAGGAGATGATTGAGGTCCCAGGTGGATCTGTTGGGGCTCAGTGCAGGAAACAGAAGCCCTGAGAGGTAATGTGAGCAGAAAGTGACCGAGTGTCAGGAATTAGGCACTCATGAACTTACCGGAGGGGTGGAAGAAGGGGTTGCTAAATATTTGGGGCCTTCCAGCTTGTGGAGAGTGTGCCAGGAGGGTTCTGCCAGGAGGCCGCCACCTCTGCCACCATCCAAAAGGTGGGAAATTGGAGATGCCATTTACATCTGTATGCCAAGGGCACATGGAGCCTGAGGTCTCCTGATTGGGCACCTGGGCTCAGAGGTCCGCTGTCCTGTCCCAAGAGGAAGATACTCAGTTGCATGCTGCCTTGCCCCTGCAGTGTGAACTGCACATGCATCATCCTTCCCAGCACCATGTCTGATCTGATGAATCAGATAGTGAGAGTCTCCACTTTCTACTGAGAGGACGTGTTCATCAAGCACGTCTGGCACACCGCACAGCATACTGCAAGCCTTCAGAAATGTGGTTATTTCCCTTTGTAGTCCATTGTCTCTTTTCACAGTCGAGGAAACTGGACTGGAGGGAACAATGGGACTCATGGCTCCCCAGGGGCCCTGGGCTGGTAGGCAGAGCAGGTGGTCCTAACAGGTCTATTGATGCCCGGCCATCCTCTCCTTGTCCCACTAAGGGGGAAATCTCCAGCAAAACAGAATCTTTCCCCTGTGTTTAGTTGACATGCACGGAATTGCTGTTTTGTGGTTAAAATGGCTGCACAGTGAAGGTCAATGGCTTTGGAAGAGGTGGGAAAGGAGCTGTCACCCTGAGCCTTCCAGCCTGGGGAGAGGTGATTATCTATCCTGGGTGTAATTTTGGATTTCTGGTCCTCCGGGCAGGTGGCCCAGGGCAAGTGGTCCCATGCCTCTGCTTCTGCCTCAAGTAGCCTTGGATCTGATCAACATGGCCCCAGAGCTGTGGTCCAGAGGGCCTTGGAATTGGTGGATTCCATCTTGAGAATCTGTACTGGCAGAACACACTCATCTGTTCCTAATTTACATGAAGTTCACACTTCAATTCAAGGCTTGGCTTAGTCTCTACCTTGCTCAGTGGTGTTTATCTGACAGATAAAAGCTGGCATGAATTGGATGCTTCATTAACTAGGCTGAAAGGGACAATATTCATAATCAACATGCTGTCAAAGTCTGATAAGTCCCACCAGCTGTGGCTTTTGCTCAGACTAGTGAGGCTGCAGGTTCCTGGGAGGACCCAGCAGGCCAGCCTGCTGCTGGCTCCCACTCTGTACATAATACAAGAACCCAGCACTATGGAGGACTTTTCTGGGGCCTTTGGGAGCACAACCCTATCTAGGAGGAGGTTGGGAAAGCCCCACCCCAGGCTACATCTAAGTGGCTCCAAGATGCACAGTGTCAAAAAAAAAAAAAAAAAAAAAAAAAAAAAAAAAAAAACGGTTTTTTTTTTTTTTTTTTTCTCAGAAGTGTTGCTTGTTCTAGCATGCGACTGAATAAGTAGGTGATCAATTTGAACTTAAAATCTTCCTTTACACTCTTTTGTGGGGGAGTACCGGGGATCAAACTCAGGACCTTCCTCTTGCGAGGCTGATGGCAGCACCACTGAGCTAAATCCCTGGCCTTCATTTACACATTGTGGTAGGTTGGTTTCAGATTTGCTCTTAATGCAAGTTAAATCCTTAGTCCTTGCTTATTGTCTTCTCTGCTAAAATGTGCAGGAGTTTCCATGAAAAGTAAAAAAAAAAAAAAAAAAAAAAAAAAAAAAAAAGATGACCAGTGTCTTAGTTATTTTTCTCATTCCTGAGACAAAATATCCAATACTCAAAGTTAAAGGAGGAAAGGTTTATTTGGCTCATAGTTTTGAAATTTCAGTCCATAGCCGACTGGTTCCAAGGCAGGGTGGCCTGGCAGAGGGCATCACAGAGGAGAAACAGTCCACGGCAGGCGGGCAGGTATGGCAACAAGCAGCAAGTCCAAGTCCAAGCAGCCCCAGCAGCATTATCCTGTCCCTTTTATGTTCTATCCAGGCTGCTAGGCTTAGGGTGGGTGCCAAATCAAACAGTGGATTGTTTGGGTGATCACATACTCTTAGTTCCAGCGTCACACACTCTAGATCCGGCCACCTTTGAGAGCCCCCCCCCACAACATGTGTCTTTGCGGGGACAGCTAGACACAGCCACACCAACCGATTACCCCAGAAGTCATTGCAGGAGCACACAGCTTCAGGGAGAGCAGGATGGGAACACATCTGCTGGCCTGGACTGGACTTCCTATCTTCAAAGGAAGTGGTTCCGGTCCTCCCGGGAACTCTGTGATACTTCCCTGGGCAGACGGCATCACCTGACATTAGTGTCATAGACAGGTTGGCTAAAACTCCCCATTTAAATGGAAGTGGGGGTGGAGGAACCAGTCTGGCTGCACACAGGATTCACCCAGAGCGAAATAGACAAAAGTTCTGGTGCAGTGTAGCTGGTACGCGCACACACACGTGCACACACACTAGCAAGCTCTCCACAGGCACCGACCGTGCAGTCTGTTTCACCCCTTCATGGTGGGATGGAGCATTCCTGTGTTTTCCAGAACAGCCCACGTGATTCTTATGTGCAGCTGAAGTCTGGAAGCTTGTATGGGAATGAATAAGTTTGTCCTACGGCTGTTTTGCATTGTCTTTAAAATCCCTAGATGTACGTTTTAAAGTTAATTCACTAACAAGTATTTTGTATCTATTTATCACTATGTTGGAAGCTAAAGACACAGCGACAGAGACAACTGAGAAGTCGTCAGCCCTCCTTGCGAGATTTCCGGGCCAGGGGCACGTGGGGAACAGGGCAGAGCCCTGCTAGTGGGGCCAGCCGGCTCTTCAGAGGGGCAGTCGGAGGGGCTTGACCCGGGCCAGGTCGGACCCATTCATGCCAGGAGGGGAGCGATCTGAGCCTGAGGGCCGAAGTGGAGAGTGACTTCACTTCCGGTCTCTGGGAACACTGTGTCCCGAATTGTGTGTGGCAGGTTTGTGTGCAGCAACCCCATTAGACAGTGCAATGGAAGAATGGGCCAGATGTTAAAACACAGAGAGCCGCCAGGTCTTGTCTCTTCCTGGACACGCACGCTGGACCTGCTACTGCTCATGCAGCGTTCCCAGAGGGCGCGAGACACCAGCCAGTCACCTGGCTTCTCCACCGAGTCCACCGAGTAATCTGGCGACAGCGGGGTGAGGATGTGCAAAGCTGGATTTGAGGTGACTGCTGGAGTGGAAGTCTGGACCACGGAGTGTGCAAAGAATGGAAACAAAGGTCCAATGCCAAGTCCCGGGCCGCAGTAATTAAAACCCAGGGAAATCACAGGACACGCCTTCAAACTGCGGAACAGATTCATCTCAGGAAAGCTTTCAGAATGTGTCTGTTGAACGCACATTTTCTTTTGCAGTTTTCCCTACAGTAAACATCACAATAATTGAGTGTTTGCTGCTGGGAGGCCTCTCTTTTTGTGAGCTAATAAAAGCCTTTCAGTGTTACATTCGAAGAGAATATAAGTAAAAAGCAGTCACACACGATTAGCCCTGCCCACTGCCAAGAGGTTAATTGCGCCATTTCCCTTCACTTCAGAGTTGGGACAGTGGGTCTTTGCAGGAACAGAAGCCCAAATGAGGCAAAGGCCGAGCGATGCCATGCATATAAACAGAACCTTGAGGGCTGGAGGGGGGAGGGGTGCTGGACAGAGCCTCTTGGGGTCCCTCTCCGCCCACGGTCTGCCCTCAGAGGGAGTCCATAGCTCCTGGGTCACTTTGGGGGCGGTGGATGTGCTTACACCCATCACCCCTCCCACCCGTCCTGTTGGGGAACACTCCATTCTGCGGTGACACGTGGCTGCCTGTGATAGGAGGACTGCTCTAGTTGGCTGGCTGGGGATCCTGGAACCAGCTTCCTCCATCTTCTTTTCCTCTCTGGGGTGCCCTGACCAGTGTTTGCTTTCTCTGAAAAGAGAGCAGTTTCTTCTGATGAAATCAACAGTTTCCTCTGCACGCCAAGCTTGTTTTATGAGATTAAATATTTAAGTAAAAAAATTATAAATGCACCATAAAATGCTGATGGGTGATTAATTTGTTTTTACTTTACATGTTTTAAAGGGTGTGAGGTTTACTGTTTTGAGGTAAATCCAGTCACGGGCCTGGAGCCCTGCGGATCAGAGAGGATTCATTCCCAGCAGGGCCGGAGTGGGGCAACAACAGCAAAGTCTCCTCCTTCCGTGCCAGGGGCGCCAAGGGGAAGACGAGGCTGACCTGGATGGGAGGGCGTTAGGGTGACAGGCGAGGAGTTTCCCAGGTCAGTTTCTTCCTCCGAGCACACAGGCCTCCAGCAGTGCCTGCCCAGCCGTGCTCCCTCCAGGGTCAGCCCAAATTTGGCCAGAGCGCAGAGCGAAGTCAGGAGCCTTCTGTCTGTGCCACTCTCTGCTGCTTTTAGCTGTGTAAGCTGGAGCATCATGGAAAACTCCCAAGCCTCAGTGTTCTCATCTGTGAAATGGATGGGCAGTTGCCCACCCAACCTGCTGTGGACACTGAGAGGACCCAGAAATTAGCCCGGAGCACAGGGGCATCTGTGGTCTCCTCTGACACTTATGTCCGACAATGCTGGCCATGCTAACTTGCCTGCCAAGGGCTTGCTTTGCTGGCTGGTGAATACACCGCATAGGTTCAGTTCAACTGGAACAAACAGCAGGAGTGTTTCACCTTTCATTTACAGCAGCTGAACTGAGTGAGGGCTCTTGTCCAAAGCAAACGAAGAATCAAGACCCAGGCCACCGTGGTGCTGGCATTTGGACTCCTAGGCCAGGGTCCACCCTTGCTGAGCGGGGTGGGGCCCAGTGCCTAGTCTCCCTACAGATGCCCTGGGGTTTCCCTGTCAGCTCTGCCCAGCTTCCCATAGACTGGACCACCAGCCTAGGGCGGGCTGCAGGCTCTGGGCATCCCGGCTCACTAGGAGTCTGAGGGCAAAACACTTGGGTCCCAAATACCACCTGTAGGCCATGACGTATGTGTGGCCCTTGTGGTGGCAGCCACGCCCACTGTGATGTCACCAGTATGGCCCCAACCCCTCATCCTCAGGCAGCCTCTCCACACAGGACACCCAGGGCCACAGTCAACAGAGGCACAGAGATGCAAATCCAGCTTTTGAAGTCGTAATCCTGCTGGGGACATGGCCTCCGGTTGCTATGGCGATGCCTGTGTTATCAGAAGATTATCATTTCCTGTGAAGAACGGGCGTGAAGACCAGAATCACTTTGGAGAAACCAAAGACCTTGCTCATAAACAATCATGCAGAAAAATTAAAACATAAGAAGGCACACGTTTGCTGACAAGTATGTGACACAAAGTCTCTTTCATTCTGCCTAAAATGATTTTCAGGTTTTCAAGTTCAAAGCTTGTTTTAGGACGAAAAAATAAGCCATCATAACAAAAGAATAAAAAAGGAAAATTTAATGAGAAACATGACAGAAGACAAGAAGAGCAGAGAAAATACAAAAAAGTTGAACTATAGCAGGTAACAGAGCAGAAAAATATTAAAAGACTTTGAATGAAAGGATTACCTTGAAAAAAAATATGAAGAAGAGAGCAGAAATATTTTAATTATTTCATTACAAGGAGAAGTGCCGAGCCGTCACCCACAGCAAAGTGAACACCGAGGGGCTCCCCTGGGCACGGTTTCTGGTGCAGTCTGCCCTGAACGCTGGTGGTTAGAACGGCCTAGCTTAGGAATTAGGGTTCTCCGCTGACCGTGTGGATGGTCAGCTGACCCGGGCAGTGTGGCATCCGTTTAGCATGAAATATGAACGACAACTTTTAAAAAGTTGTGTGAAGTCCAGACGTACATTTGTGAAGCTCTTGGTGATTTATTCAAACAATGGAGCTTGTGATTACCCGGAAACGATTCTGGTGGGAAGAGAGGAAGCAAGCAGGACCCCAGGAGGCCCCGTGGCCTTTACGGTGTGGCTCAGAGCTGACTGTTGGCTTTGTCCAGGTGCCAGCAGCCAGAGCAAGCTGCACAACCAGCCCTGCCTCAGTGGGGCGGACTGAGATGCTGGCCCTGGGAGATGGAGCCACTGACCCCCGTGCTGCTCCGTCTCTTGAGTCTGGACAGGAAGCAGCAGTATTTTGGCTCTGTGTTGGCCACTTCTCAGCTGAAGACCTTGGGCCTCACCAGCAGGGTGTCTGCACCTGGGGCACGGCTGTGACAGCCTGACTCGGGTCTGAATTCTGGGCTTGCACCTGCTAGGTGTACGCTCTCTTCCGTTTCCTACCTTGAGTGGTGAAAGCCCCTCGCTGCCAGGTCCAGCACAACTGCAGGGGTGGGGTGTATGGTAGTGGCCAGGGGTCATCAGGTCAAACGGGATTGAATGTGTTGCGTTTTCCTTAGACCTGCTCACAGTAGCACTCCCTCAGCAGAGAGACTTTACCAGTTGCACATGTGGCCACCCAGCAAGATGGGCATCCCTGCATCCTCTTACTTGGAAGCAGCCTCTTTGCAGAGGTAAGGAAGTGAGGACCTCGGATGTGATCACTGTAGCTGATCCAGGTGGGCCCCAAACCAGACGCACAGAAGAGAAACAGAGGAGCCTGTGTGCAGACAGAGGCAGAAACTGGGGTAACATAGCCACAGTTGGGGTGCAGCTGGAGTCACCTGGAACTGGGAGAGACAGGGATGTCCCTCCTGGAGTTTCCAAAGAGTACATGGCCCTGCTCTCAGCTTGGTTTCAGGCTTCTGGCCTCCCAAATGGGGCAAGCATGTACCCACTGGGTACCTGTTGAAGGAGTGGCGGCTTTGCTTGTCTGTCAAGGAAGTGAGCAGAGGTCAGAGGGGCAGGTGTCCTTGTTAGGAGTGTGCTGGATGCTGTGTCCTTCAGCTGAGTCCCCAGGGACAGCCGAGGCCCTGAATTCTGGAGGGGAGGAGCAGCGGTTCCAGCCACACTCCTCGTGCTGTCCAGGAGAAAGAACCAGACCTGGTCTATGGCAGACTGACCCAGGGAGCCACTTGTCAGCTGGCCCTGGGGTGTGGGCAGTTATCCTGGGCTGTAGGGGACAGCGTCACCGTGAGGGTCTCTGCAGGAGAGAGCCAGGAAGGTCTCAGCCGGGAGGTCAGCGCTGTGGCCCTGCAGAGCAGCACCAGGGGCAGCCCGGCTCTGGCGGGCCGCTAGAAGCTGGAGGCAGGGCCTCCGGCAGAGCCCGCCTTGCCCAATCCTGGGTTATAGCCCGGTGAGACTGCATCAGACTTCTGATCTGCAGGCTGTGAGCCTGCATTTGCGTTACTTGGCTCAGATTTGGTTCATTTGTGACGCAGCAATAGGGAACTGCAGGGAAGGTGGAGGGAAGCAGCAGCAGCAGCAGCAGCAGCAGCAGCAGCAGTAGCAGAGGATCCCAGAGCTCTTGCTCAGCACAGGGACACAACCTGTGGGTGGAGGTGGCCGAGGAGCTCCTGTGGCCAAGCAACTTCAACCAGGGAGCCGGCACTGGGGAACGACCTGTTGCACACACCGAGGTCGCTCGTGGGCCTGCCTGCCCTCTGTCCCTCCCTGTGTCCCCAGGGAGCCGCGTGGTTCCAGCTGCAGAGGCTTGGTCCTTCCAGTGGGCACCACACGAAGTAGCACCCCAGTGACCCCGAGGCCAGAGCCGGCTGCCCGGAGCTTCAGGGTACAGGGGTAGGGCTGGGAACTTGGCTGTCAGGGCTCCCTGGCTTCCCACCTGGCATCGTGAGCGCCTGAGTGGGAGCCACTGTTCACCAAGTGCCCATAGTGAGGGGCGCAGTGCTCGGGCTGCCCACAGACCATTTCAGCAGATCCCTCCTGTGAGAGGCATGGACGCTGCTTCATAGGTGAGGAAATGAGGCTTGGAGATTCCCGGCTCCAATTCAAGGCCAGGGGCCCAGCTCCTGCGGCTGCTCCGAGAGCTGTGGCCATTCGGGGGAAGGACACCGGGGTCCCTCCCATCCCTCTGAAGTTCTGTCTAGATGGCAGGAACACAGTAAGAGTACTAAGAGAGCATGACTCCTCTGAGCTGCTCTGTTCCGTTCTGGGGGTTCCTAGAACATCGATGCAGCGCCTGCTGCGGGAAACAAAACAGGGAAACAGTCCAAGCGTGGGCGATTCGGGCATTCCAGAGCCTCTGGAACTGGGCGCCTTTCGCCTGTGCCTCACCTACACAGCAGTTTGGAGTATTTTGGACTTCCTGTCCTTCCCCCAGGGCCGGGAAAACTCTGTCTCAGAAACAGAGAACTGTGCAGACCTTCGGCCTCCTGCATGGCCTTTGTTACGCCCAGCAGGGCTGGCGCCCTCCACCGGCCCTCCCTCCCTGTCATCCGGACTCAGAGCCCCCATCCGTCCGGGGTGCGGCCAGGGCTGTCTCTGTGCTTCAGCTGTGGATCTCCTGGGGAGGCGCTGGTGGCACCCGAGTTCCTCTGTGGCTCTGAGGTCCCCGGCAGGAGTGGAGTCTTCACCGAAACCCCAAGAGGCTGCCTCTGCCGGCACAGCGGGAGTCTCTTTGTTCCCCATCTAATTGGTGGTGATTAGTTGAGGAAAAAGGGGTGGGGAGAAATAAGCAAAGAAGTAGGAGAAGAAGAGGAAGAAGAGGAAGGAGGAGAGGAGAAGAAGAGGGAGGAAATGAAGACAGATTGTTAAATGGAGCACCTCGAGCAGCCAATGGAAACATCATACTTCCCTGCTCTAATAACTGGAGCTCATACTGGGTGATCAGTCACGGCATCACGGGCATTTTTAGCTTACCGGCTTATCAATACGAGGTGGTTTAATGTGGGCGTCCTGACGTGTTCCCGATACGGAGTAGAAAGGCGACTGCAGCCGCTGTCTCTGGATGCCCAAGACCGTGATGGCAGATCAATGTCTGTCAAAACACCCTTATTCTCCGGAAACTGCACTCTGATGACAGTAATTAAGCTGTGAGAGCTGGTCTGGTGAACCCAGGACTATTCCGCTGTAAACATATTTTATTTTTAATATTCATGGGCAGGCTGTGCTCT